TAGAATTACTATTTATGGCAATAGTGAAGGTTTCCTTACACTGGAGAGGAGGTGATTTTGAAAAAGCCCTTGATAGAGCAGAAGCTAAATGGATCTTCCAGTTGGACACTCTAGAACCTAAGGGTCTTAATTTGGATTTTGAATTGAATGCCTTCCTATAAATTTCTATGAATAAGATTTTTTTTTTCTTTTATTATTACCCTCGTTCTGTAATTAACACATATATTTTTCTGGTCTTTTACACTATGTAGTAGCACTTTAATTAAGGGGTGATCCATGATTGTCTTTTCCCTTCTTTTTAATTCCACCTTTATTCTATTTTTAAGTCTAATGGTACAAGGATATATTTAATTTTCCATAATTATTTTATATCATTCAATTGAATATTGCATTATTATAAGCTGTTATATGATGTATCCCTTTAATATTTTATATGATGTATCTCTTTAATATTTTATATGAGATTTATATTTTATTTTATCAGTAAGACATTATCTTATAGGGTAATATATCCCTGTTGCTTATTAATGAAATTTTTTATGTAACTTTTATTATATTATACAATTATAATTTTATTAATTTACGATTGCATTATCCATTATTCGTTTTTATGTAGTTTTTACCTTTTATTTGATGATAACCACTGTAGTCTTAATATATTCACTACATGTATATTTGATCAATTATATGTATGTTTTTAGGAAGGTTCTGTTATCCATGCCACTTATATGTTAACAAGTGCCGCCAACGGCACTTCTTAAACGCACTTCTCAGATGAGAAACTAACCCAAATTAAAGTCTAAAATGTAGGAAAAGACCCTTTCACAATGATTGGCACATTAAAGAAGCAAAGAATCGTGTTTAGATTTTCTAACAGTAGTGAATCATTTGGAAAGTTTATTAAATCAAAGCCAAACTTTATTAAAAAAAAAAATGGCATCTTAATAAAGCTCAAAATATATGTGAGACTCCCCATGGTCTCCACATTTGCAAATGGTATGCTGTGACGGTTACCCCTATGGAGTAGGATATTTAGCATCTGGGCATCCTCCTTCCCAGTAATGGAGACCACAGCAGAGCTCCAACTCAAGGTCATGTAGAGTGGGTAGAGCGGGGCTCCCTCCTCCAGGAGGGTGTAGCTGGGGCTCTCTTTCCAGAAGGTGTAGCAGGGTAGCTGGAGAGTGCTCTTAAGAGAGCTAGTAGTGATACAGCTGGCAAGCAGGCTTCTCCATAAGCCAGAGGAACAGGGCAGTTTTGCACAAAAAAGCCAGTGGAAAATGGCAGTTGGTCACACCGGTTTGAAAATTACAGATTCTTTCCCAGCAGAGTTAAAGGGCCAGACATAGTTTTTAACATCCAAGATGCGGAAATGGAGTATTTAACAGTATTTAACACTATGGGTAGTTAACATTGCCAAAGGGGTATTTAAATCCGTCGGCACTCCAAAGATGCATTCCTCTGATGAAGTGACAGGACGTCACGAAACGCGTAAGGCTGCATCTCTTCACACACTCACAGTGGAACGCATACTGAAGTAACATGGAATGCACGCAGTGGATCTCCTCGACGAGCTGTTTTCAACAAGGACTGAGGCTGCCTCTGAAGCCGGCTTTGACGAGACAGCATTTTTAGAGTTTCCAGATTGCTTGGAGGAAGACACCAAAGGAAAGTTCCCTTTTTCTATGCTATCTGTGAGCTGTTGCTTATTTTATACACTTATAATTTTTGCATAATAAAGTCTGTTTTAAGAAGATTCTCTGACTTTCGAACTATATACATATCGCACAGTTCTATGGACGTCAGCAGACAAGATTCCAGGATCTACTATCACTAATAATAGATGTAGAACTGTTAATTCCACATTTCTACATATGTTACATTTAGTTACTTTTTCTTTCTTTTATGTATCATACTAATATTGGTTATCATATTAGTTTGTTACTAGAGCATATTTAGCTCATACTGGCTAGTTCCCCTGCTGTGCATATTGAGGGTACACCAGCCATTTTTTTCTTATATGAGCTTACATTGTAAGTATTTTTTCCTTTGGACTGTTCATCCAACCACTAGATCTGGTTATTACTTGAATTAAGACTGCGGACACTATCTTTTTGCACTGATACAGTATATATCTATTTATTTTATTCATTTATTTTATTTATTTATCAAGATATATTTAATTAATTGTGACAGCAATTCCGTGATACTGTGTATGTTACCATTTTACCTCTCTATTCACCCTTTCTTTTATATATCTCTGGGTGTTGGTATCCACTCCTGGTTCGAGTTATTAGGTTTTTCCTATGCTTTTTATCTTGTATTATTTATTTATTCAACCTAGGGTGTGGGTTGTTTTACCAGTTGTTTAGTGGTTTTCTATTGACCACTATTTTTCCTCCCTATATTTCCAAGAGGAATTATTTCCCCTTGGTCCCCCTTTTTATATTTGGATCTTGGGTATGTCTGTGGCCTTTAGTCGTTTTTGTAAACAGCTATGCTTCCGACGATTCTTTTCTTCTTTAATGTGCCATTTATTGTGAAAGGGTCTTTTCCTACGTTTTAGGCTTTAATTTCGGTTAGTTTCACACCCTGTCTTGGTCATTGACTATGATTGATGTATAATCGAGGAACTCCGCCAACGGCACTTCTTAAACGCACTTCTCAGATGAGAAACTAACCCAAATTAAAGTCTAAAATATAGGAAAAGACCCTTTCACAATGATTGGCACATTAAAGAAGCAAAGAATCGTGTTTAGATTTTCTAACAGTAGTGAATCATTTGGAAAGTTTATTAAATCAAAGCCAAACTTTATTAAAAAAAAAAATGGCATCTTAATAAAGCTCAAAATATATGTGAGACTCCCCATGGTCTCCACATTTGCAAATGGTATGCTGTGACGGTTACCCCTATGGAGTAGGATATTTAGCATCTGGGCAACCTCCTTCCCAGTAATGGAGACCACAGCAGAGCTCCAACTCAAGGTCATGTAGAGTGGGTAGAGCGGGGCTCCCTCCTCCAGGAGGGTGTAGCTGGGGCTCTCTTTCCAGAAAGTGTAGCAGGGTAGCTGGAGAGTGCTCTTAAGAGAGCTAGTAGTGATACAGCTGGCAAGCAGGCTTCTCCATAAGCCAGAGGAACAGGGCAGTTTTGCACAAAAAAGCCAGTGGAAAATGGCAGTTGGTCACACCGGTTTTAAAATTACAGATTCTTTCCCAGCAGAGTTAAAGGGCCAGACATAGTTTTTAACATCCAAGATGCGGAAATGGAGTATTTAACAGGTAATGCACTCCAGGGGCCATAGTCCCAGGGTAACCAGAGTTTAGGAGTGTGTTCTTGGTTGGAATATGATGCTAGTACCGTGATTCACACCATAACCACTGTGAGAAAAATCACCATAACTACTGCAAGCAATGAGGGATTTTGTTACACGGCTCCCTCTTTGTGGGACACTCTGGCAGATCCGGCTTGACCCCTTTTTGGGGCAACTGGAGGCTGTCCAGACACTGTTATTCGGGGATGAGGTCAGTCTGCTGAGATAATCCATCCGCGTTGCCGTTCTGCTTGCCGGGCTGATACTGGATGGTAAAGTTGTAGGGTTGGAGTGTCAGACTCCATCTCAGTAGCCGGCCATTGTCCCCAGCAACGCGGTTTAACCACACCAGAGGAATATGGACTGTAACCAAGGTCAGAGTGGGGCTAACCCTGTGAGTTGTGAGGGTAGTGTATCCAGGTTCCTGGGAGAAGGTACATGTGGTACATATGGTCCCCAGATAGGGGACGTATCAGATATTAAACTGATGAGAACAGATACTACACTTGATCTTAGCTGCTCCCTCTCAGTGGGAGTGAGTTTGTCCCCTAATTGGACCTGGCTAAGGAGATCTGTGGGTGACCCCTTTTCTAACAGGTCAGGTAGGGGAAGACTGTCAGGGTCCTCAGCAGCAGGACCTGTCCATATAAATATGGGGATAACTTTTTCAAGGCCCACACCAGGGCTAAGCACTCCTTCTCTACTGAGGTGTTGCTGACCTCTCTGGGAAGAAGTTTTCTACTGACGTAGGCTTAAAACTGCCCCCAGTCCGAACATTGAAGCATCTGTATGAACAGTAAACCATTTGTTAGGGACTGGGGCAGTCAGAACAGGAGCATGAATCAATGCAGTCTTAAGAGCTTGGAACGCAGCTTCACAGCTGGGAGACCACAGGACCTGTCGGGGTAAGTTTTTCTTGGTCAGGTCAGTCAGGGGTTTGGCAATGGTGCTGTAGTCGGGGGCAAAGCGTCTGTGATACCCAGCAGTGCCCAGGAAGGCCAGGACTTGAGTCTTGGTGCAGGGAGTGGGCCAATTAGCGACCGCCTCAATTTTAGCAGGCTCAGGGCGCTGTTTCCCACACCCCATCTGGTGTCCCAAGTACTGGACTTCAGCCATCCCGAAATGGCATTTGTCTGGCTTCAGAGTCAGGCCAGAGGCCAGCGGCCCGAATATGATCCAGGACGATCCCTATGTGAGCCAAGTGTTCCTCCCAGGACTCAGATCGCTATATAATCCAGGTACGAAATCCTGGAAGCCATCAAGGAGTCTATCTACCAAGTGCTGGAATGTGGCTGGGGCATTTTTCATCCCGAATGGCATGACCTTAAACTGGTACAAGCCAAACGGGGTGACAAAAGCTTCCTTGGCCAGGGGAATTTGCCAATAACCCTTGCAGAGGTCAATGGTGGTTAGGTAGTGTCCCCTGGCAATGCCATCTAAGAGCTCATCTACTCGGGGCATAGGGTACGCGTCGGTCACACTCCTGTCATTAAACTTGTGGTAGTCCACACAGAATACTTACACTACAGGGGAAGCCCAAGGGCTATCAGAAGGTTCAATTACTCCTAATCATAACATCTCCTGGATTTCCTTCTGCATCCCTTCTCTGACTGCCTCAGGGATGCGGTAAGGGGGCCGTCAGAGTGGGGCTAACCCTGTGAGTTGTGAGGGTAGTGTATCCAGGTTCCTGGGAGAAGGTACATGTGGTACATATGGTCCCCAGATAGGGGACGTATCAGATATTAAACTGATGAGAACAGATACTACACTTGATCTTAGCTGCTCCCTCTCAGTGGTCCCCTAATTGGACCTGGCTAAGGAGATCTGTGGGTGACCCCTTTTCTAACAGGTCAGGTAGGGGAAGACTGTCAGGGTCCTCAGCAGCAGGGCTACTTACAGCAGATATGTCCTCTGGCCGCTCTACGTATTCTTTTAACATATTTACATGAAACGCCTTCTTTAGTCTTTCATCTCTGCAGCTGGCGATGACATAAGTTGTATCGCACAGCTTTTCTACGACCTTATAGGGCCCCTGCCAGGAAGCCTGTAAATTATCCTGCTCAACAGGCTTCGGCACTAGGACCTTTTGCCCTATATAGAACGTCTGTAGTCGGGCACCCCGATCATACCACACTTTCTGCCGCCCCTGGGCCGCCTGGAGGTTGTCCCGGACTATCCAAGCCAACTGCTCCATGCAGTCCCAAAACCCCAGGACTTATGACAGGATGGGGGTACCTTCACGCTCCGTCTCCCCCTCCTAGGGCTCCCTGATGAGATCAAGGGGACCTCGCACCTTTCTCCCATATAAGAGCTCGAAGGGGGAAAACCCAGTTGATTCCTGTGGCACCTCCCTATAGGCAAAGAGGTGCGGTAGGAATCACTCCCAGTCTCTGTACTCGCTGGTGAAAGTCTTGAGCATTTGCTTCAAGGTTCCATTAAAGCGCTCACAAAGACCGTTAGTCTGGGGATGGTAGGGAGAGCTAAGTATGGATTTGATACTGCAGACCTTCCATAACTGTTGGGTTAGTTCTGCAGTGAACTGTGTGCCTCAGTCCGAGAGGATTTTCTTGGGAAACCCGACTCGGGAGAAAACCTGTACAAGAGCGTTAGCGTCTGCCCGGATATTTGACAGTGCCACTGCCTCTGGATAGCAAGTCGTGTAGTCCACCACGGTAAGTATATACTTCTTACCAGATAGACTAGGGTTGGCGAGAGGTCCCACTATGTCAATGGCGATCCTGCTGAAGGGTTCTTCAATAATAGGCAGGAGCATCAAGTGGGCCTTGGGGTGATCCCCTCGTTTCCCCACTTGCTGGCACACATTGCAATTTCTGCAGTACTCTCGTACATCAGCGTGTATCCCAGGCCAGAAGAAAGCCTGTGTTATCTGCTTTAGTGTACGGGTAGTTTCTAAGTGACCGGCCAAGGGAATGTCATGCCCAATCCTAAGAATTTCCCTTCTATATTTACGGGGGACTACTAGCTGGTGCTTTTGGTAGGGATTCTGCCCTTTCTTTTCTGTGACTCGGTATAGTTTATCCGAGTCCCACCTAAAAAAATAATTTTCCAATACCCCAGCCCCAATCTCTGACTTTGCCTGGTATTTGCGTAGGGAGGGATCCTCTCTAGTGGCTTTCCCAAACTCCTCTGGAGTGTCCCAAGCTAACGTAGTCTGGGGGTTATGCATTTTATGCAGTAATTTAAATATTTGAGCTGCTAAAATGCTCCAAAATATGGACTGATCTCCATTTTGACATTTAAAAAAACCAAAAAACTGCACAAGGCAGGTTCTAAATTCAGCCTTGTATTTTCACAAATGCTTAACAATGGTAGGCAAAGGGCGTCATTCTGTACTCATGCTGAGCACAATTTAGTGAGCTTTCTTGCAGTAGTACAGATGAAGTTTGCAAAATTAATCTCTAAATTGCATGAAAAACAATGTGAAAATTAAATATCATAAACATGCACATTGCAATTTAGAGATTTATTTTGCAAACTTTATCTGGCTCAATATATACCATATGACATACCTTGTGCTGTCTACTTTCACAAATGGATGCATTTATGGGGTAATTAGAACTGTCAAAGTGCTACAATGCCCCACAAAGAGGAACAAGCCCTAACAAAAACCTATTATTTGTCAAAACTGCTCTAATGGCCCAATTTGAGATATAGGCCCATCAAAATCCATCTATTAAAATTCCAACTGTAGGGGGTGGAGCCTTACCTTCAATGGAGACAGACGCGTGAGCCTTTAGCTCTCCCACCCCGGGCTCTTAATCCGCATCCATCAGCGACAATAACGGTGAACCTCGCACCTGATTTACCAACATGTAGCAATACAAACTCCCTCTCCACATACCTTGTTTTAGATACCAAAGAAAACTTTGATTATTTGTCTATCTACTCCTTTCTAAATTGATTGTGTGCATGTCTTCTGGAAGTAAATCACACCGGACACATTGCAGGTTTATGAAGAACTCCAGAGAGGCCTTTATTCCAGGGGGTGCAATTCCCTTTTAAAGCAGAAATACGTCATGTACAGAGTCACAGTTAACATACAGTATACATTCATCAATTGGTTAACAGTCTAAGGGGTCTTTTCTAAACATCCCTACAGGATGTAGTGTAGTCATTACAGAGTTCTCCCACCCATATTTCTGCTCCATCTTGGTTACACGATGGGAGGGAGGAAGTGAGTAGTAGTTACTTTAACAGTGATTCTCCATTTTGTTACACGTGGCACATAGCTGTTACTTTGCACAAAGGAAGTGGGGGAGGGGGTTAATAAAGGAAGCTGTTCTTTTAACACAGGAATTTGTTACAAGAGGCTTGCTCGATGGGAAGGGGGTAGGCTAGCAGGATGGAAGGAATTTGCAGAGAAAATAGTGACTAAACACATTGTAGGGGGGGGGAAGGAATATTTACTCTAGCAGCCAGTTTTAACATAGTGAACACAGAATAAATAGACATTAGTAAATAGCCATTTTATTTTAATTCTTCTGTCCTTAACAACCTACCATGAGAGGAAACAAAAAAATGGAGAGAAAAGGGCAGCCATCTTTATTCCAAGGCCCAACTGATTCAGGCTCAGACTCTGATGGGAGTAATACCTCAATACCTCAAATGGCCCTGGAGCCCTACTCACTAAACGTGAGCTCCGCAGGATTCTGCTGGAAACGTCCAACAACATCAAGGCTTACACCACGGAACCACACGAAAAGCAAATTGCCGGCCTTAAAAATGACATCGAGGCCCTAACCTCTCCCACCAGTCACGCTAAAAAATTAAATCTCCGATATCGAAGCAAAAACCGTAACACATCATCAAGATATCGACATGCTCAAAGACAAAATACTAAGAAACAGGGGTGTAGAAATGCACTCTATCTCCATATAATATGTATCTGGGTGCAGCCAGACTGGTCCCAGTACCAAGTACCAGATACTTGATGAAGCAAAAAAAGGTAATTAGATGGGTACATTAAATAAAGTAAAATTGAGAATTGAAGATATCTGGTAAATTACCACCACAGAGTCATTTCCGCTAACTTCGTGACGTTGACGTAATGACGTTCAGCGTGTGAGGAGACGCCTACGCACTGACTTCTTAATCCCCATAGGATAACGACATGCGCTGTCCACGGACCAAATGTAAATGCGCACACCCAAGTGGCCGCAGCAATACACACGTGCATGCGCCCAGAATAAAATTTGAGAACCAGCGAATTTGTGCACGGATATTCGAATTTTCGCATATCCGCGCGCGCATGCACAATGGCCTGCAGCAGGCCATCGTGCATGCGCCCACGGATATGCGAACAGAGCCTAAAAGTATCTGAATTGTCAGATATATACAATGAATATAGAGTAATATAATATGATACACCTAATAGCAGTCGACAGTCTCCACATTGGGCATCATCAATCTGATACATGAGAACATTCTTTAGGAGAATACAATAGAGAAACATAAAAAAAATAAAAAAGAGTAAATATACAGGGCTATATCCAATATTGCCACAATCACACCTATCATCCTAGTTCATTAGCAAAAGAAAAGTCTCTAAAAAGGACATAAGAGACCATAAAATCATATAGGGAAGTATACAAATAAATGTGCTTATCAAATAACCATAAAAATGAGTACAGTTAATATGTGTAAGGCATCATCAAGTGCTAGCATATTATAATGATGATATAGTTACATAGCTGAAAAGAGACTTGCGTCCACCAAGTTCAGCCTTCCTCACATTTGTTTTTTGCTGTTGATCCAAAATAAGGCAAAAAAACCCAGTTTGAAGCACAATTTTGCAACAAGCTAGGAAAAAAATTCCTTCTTGACCCCAGAATGGCAGTCAGATTTATCCTTGGATCAAGCAGTTATTACCCTACAGTGAAAGATTATATCCTTAAATATTCTGTTTTTGCAAGTATGCATCTAGTAGCTGTTTGAACATCTGTATGGACTCTGATAAAACCACTTCTTCAGGCAGAGAATTCCACATCCTGATTGTTATTACAGTAAAAAAAAACCTTTCCTTTGCCTTAGACAAAATCTTATTTTTTCCAATCTAAACGCATGACCTCGTGTCCAATGTAAAGTCCGGTTTGTGAATAGATTTCCACACAATGGTTTGTATTGACCCCGAATATATTTGTATAATGTTATCATATCCCCTCTCAGGCGACGTTTTTCTAAACAAAATAGGTTTAAATTTGTAAACCTTTCTTCATGGCTGATATGTTCCATTCCTTTTATTAATTTTGTTGCCCGCCTCTGCACTTTTTCTAGTGCCATATTCAATATGTGGTCTTACCAGTGATTTATAAAGAAGCAAAATGATATTCTCGTCCCGAGAATGAATGCCCTTTTTCATACATGACAATACCTTGCTGGCCTTGGCCACTGTGATTGACATTGCACATTGTTGCATAGTTTGTTGTCTATAACAATTCCCAAGTCCTCTTCGTGTGTTGTTATCCCTAATTCGCTTCCATTAAGGGTATACGTTGCTTGTGTATTCTTTACGCCGAAGTGCATAACTTTGCATTTTTCAACATTAAATTTCATCTACCATTTGAGTGCCCAGTCCCCCAGTCTATCTAAATCCCTCTGCAGCAAAGTAATATCTTGCTCACATTGTATTATTTTACAGAGTTTTGTGTCATCTGCAAACACTGAAACATGACTTCCAATGCTGCCTTCAAGATCATTTATAAACATGTTAAATAGAAGGTGTCCCAGAACAGACCCATGATGGACACTACTTGCCACCTCTGTCCAGCTTGAAAATTTACCATTAATGACAACTCTTTGTACTCTG